TCACTAAGCGTTGGCTTACCATTTAAGTGGCAACCTCTCTCAGGAAAGAAGACGGACAAAAAAAAAGAACCCATTGTCTGACTTGAAGATTTATCGGGGAACTTGAAGATATCAATCTTGCTTTTGGGTAAATAGTAGATTTTATATATATATATATATATATATATATATATTCTTGTCCCGTATTCTTTTGACTACATAATCCGGGTTGTAAGTAAAAATCCGTTATATCCGATTTGGAATTGTGTTTTGGGTGGTTTTATCACTAAAATAGAACGGATATTTCGATGTTTTACTAGAAATTAATATCCCATATTTTGAGGTTAATTAATGCTATGCCCAGATTTGTGTGTTTCAAAGTGTTAGCCTCTGGTTCTTCATAATCTTTGGACCATTGAATTGTCTCTAGACCATTGCATGGGCTCTGGACCATTGAATTGTCTCCAGACTTAGCTATTTCAGCAGCCTTCTGGTCCTTCATTGTCTCACCTCTGGTCCTTAATGACCTATGGTCTTCCAGACTTAGCTATTTCAGCAGCCTCTGGACCATTGCCTCTGGTCCTTCATAGTCTCACCTCTGGTCCTTCATGGCCTCTGGTCTTCCAGACTTAGCCATTTCAGCANTGGTCCTTCATGGCCTCTGGTCTTCCAGACTTAGCCATTTCAGCAGCCTTTGGACCATTGCCTCTGGTCCTTCATAGTCTCACCTCTGGTCCTTCGTGGCCTCTGGTCTTCCAGACTTAGCCATTTCAGCAGCCCCTGGACCATTGCCTCTGGTCCAACTATTGCCTCTGCTCTTCCTCCAGACTTAGTTTTTTTAGCAGCATTTTCAGATTTTCCATCATTGGCCCCGGTTGTTTTGTCAAAACTTTTGGAATAATTTAGGATCAATTTTGGTCCTAATAATCAGTAAATTATATTTTATTGAAGATTTTATAAAATTGGTAATTTGGGGTTTGAACAAGCGAGATGTTACATGTACTCACGCAAAATTACTTGTAATATTAAAGTTTAAGTAATATGCATCAATAAACAATATTTAATGCATAAAAAATGATTCCCGTATTAGAGTTGTGATGGTTATTCCCGTATTGTAGCTAGGAATAGGCATTAGGTCATTGAGCCATCGTGATTCGGGCCTATAGAGTCGAACCACGACCATTGACCATATGGTGTAATTTATAGTGAACAAGCATAGCTCGGAACATCGGGAGTCCTAATGCAAGGTAAAGATTGTGGGTGGTTGAACTTGATGACCACTAATCCGTAGTGGGCTCGTTAATGTTGACATGTGGGCTTATTTTTGTGTTCGTCACATTCGATTGATACATATCTCCTCGTTAACGAAATGTGTTATTTTGGATATTGTATGATCCATGTTTTCGGTGTTGTTTTGGGTATAGAATGTATCCATAATTTATTGTTTTGGTATCTTAGAACTTATTCATGTTTTAGGTAATAGAGTTTTATCAACATTTTCAATATTTGAACATTTAATTTCATTCACGTTTTGGGTGAGTATTGTGATTTGGTTTCATGATAAAGGGGTATTTTGTTAAACGAGTTTTCATCACAAAAATGGTGGATTTTTTGGACAGAACATTGCTTTTATGCTAAATGCATTTCATTTTGGAAATTGTGATTTAAATAACATTTTTTCAGTTTTATCGTTTGTATATTTAAGATGAAAACAAATTGAACTCACGAGGTGTTAAGCCTAACCTTTTTTATTTGTCGGCATATGCATCAGGATCTCGTTGGGAAATGGCACTAGCAACACTATAAAAAGTTGAATGTTTGTCAGAGGCACGAGAAAGATTTAGCTATTTGGAGACTTCTACCATATTTTGGAGATTGCGACTATTGTTCAGTTTACACAAGGCTTGACCTATCAATTGTTGACGTTAAGTCTAGAATTGCTATTTGACGTAATCTTGTATTGATTTATAGAGAGTGGTTTATCCTTTATTCGATGTATTATCGAAAATTTTAAATCTGTCGTGTTTTCAAATTTGAGGGTGTCACGTAAAACGCCTAAAAAGATGCGTTTATAGAATATGTTTATAAAACGTTTTTTGCATTTTAACAAGTATTTTATGTAACTTTTAAAATAAAGTATAGTATTAACTATAGAAAAATGGGTTTTTCCAGACCACTTCTGAAAAGTGTCGTATAAAAAGATGGATTTACATTACACTTCTCAAAAGTGTCATATAACACCCACACCTGTGCATATTTGCATACCGTACAAATAAATGGTTATTAGGGTGTTCATAAATTACTTGTATTCACGTGTCCATACCGTACAAATGAATGATTATTAGGGTGTTCCTCGGTTTTTTTTTTTTTTTTTGCGATTTTCCTCTAAACCTGACCATATTATATATATATATATATATATATATATATATATATATATATAATGAAAAATGACCTTTTACCCCATATTCTTCATAGTTCGACGTTCCAAAAATTTTTAGACCTTTGTTCAATCGCTATTGTTATACTACTACTGTTGTCCTCTTTTTAGGTGAACTTTGTTTAATTATCCAAATTCGTGTACTTATTACAAAAGACATGTTCTACAAAACCCAGAACGGTTATGTTGTAACAGATATGTTGATTAGTTGTACGCTATCTGGTTGTAGCTTGTTTTTGTGTTCAAGTGACCACACTACTGTTGAAGACCCTGAAAGAAAAATATAGAAACTAACCGACAGTCTGCAGCTCCGGTAACTCCAGTTGTGTGTATGGAAAAGCTTTCAGCATACTTTATTAGACCTGGTATAACAGAAGCCTGCCACCAACCTGTAAGGATTTCGGCAATTTGTTAAAATAAGCTTCCAAAACAACTATTTTTTTATTGAAATCGTATGGTTTTTAAACTTATCGTAATTGCTACAGTGGTACTTACATTCTGCCAAAAGTGTTCCATTGTTCACCCAAACTGCACCATGGCTAACCAACCTTGAAACAGAGCGGTTTCGAGCTGAGAACCTAGATTTCACCAGGGCTAACCAAATGGACTTCCAGACGTCTTCATATGAAGAAATGAACAAAAGAGCATCACCAGCCAACTTCCATGCAGACTACACTTTTATAGACATTAGATACGTAAGGGCACGATATTACATCATCTAGGATACCATAATGTGTTGTAGAGATGCAAAAAAAAAAAGGCCAAGCCCGAAGCCAGCCTTAAATCCCAATCAGACCAACTTCTTCTCAAGGCCCGGTTAAATCAGGCCTAAAAAAGCAGGATTGGGCCCTCTTTCAACGCCAAAGCAGGGCCTAGCCTGAGTCTGAAAAAGTCCAGGTTTTTTTGCTTACTGGAAAATGGGATTGGAAGGCCCGAGCCTAGGCCCAAAAAAGSCCRGGTCTTGTGGGATTTCATGAAGCCTATACAAATCCTCCACTTACAATTAGGCTTGAGCACCATGATTGCATTTTTATCCACCCTTGATGAAGGATTACTTTGTGCTTAAGAAGCTTTTGCATTTGGATGCAAATCCCTCTTTMGYTTTTCGGGTTCGGAATTAGGGTGCACCGAGTAATCAATTGACCTTCAGCTCTACCCATTTGCCGACCACACAAAGATGACTGACTTTGTTGAAAGCAGTTTGCTTTTCTTCTGCTAGTCATTCAAGATAGCCCCAATGTAGGTAGGCCATCCTTGAGACAGATCCACATGAGATCCTTACCACTCTCCCTACTTTTACCTTATTTTTGTTTCTAAATGAAGGGATCGATAAAGAGGACTTAAGGGATGATTCCTACGTATTTGGCTTCTCCACGAGTTCTAATAGATTGTAAATGAACCTTGAGGGTGGTCCATTATGAATATCCTCAAACTTCCTCATACCTGCAGCAAAATCTTCAGCCTCATGGCACATCTACAATGTAGCAGAAAATATACAGTTTCTACTTGTGGAAAAATTCACATTCTAAATGGATAAGCCAACACCAAACCAACACGAGCCCAGTATATCCCATCCGAAAGCGCAGTGGAGGTTAGACGTAGGTGTACCTGACCTCTACCCTCAAACAGTAAAGCAGTTGTTTCCATGAAGATCCTTGGCTTGTGAGTAGTGTGCGAAAAAGATAGGAAGTTACCCCCATGAAATAAAGGGAATAGCAAAAGATGAGAGTTTGGAAAAGAAGAACATGAAAGCTGAAACAAGAAACATAAAATTTTAGTTAGAAGTAAACAACAACATACAACCAGAAGTAGGYATATAAACCAAGGTAAGAAAAACCACACACCCCTAGTCTAAATCGATAAAAGTTTATTAAATGTTTGAGAAAAATAATTGTTATGACCAATCTATCAAGACTATATAAACACTATTTATCAACAGAGAATTTCAACACAAACTACGATAGATAAACTTGCAAATTAGAACACTAACCTGTTCGACCAAATCAAGAACTTGCTGTAGAACTTCAATTGGATAGAGGACTATAAATGCAGTGTCCTAAGATGAAATTCGCCCCCACTTGTGCTATGGTTCTGGGTGTTGCCTAGAGGATACAACCATCCGATCGAATGCAAGTACATGAGGGAAATTTGGAGGGAAAATTAAAGAACCTAATATATCCCACACAGAGGTAGAGTCTGGGGGTATGATGTATGTGGGACCTTACCTTTACCCAAGAGGAGAGTTATATATCAAAAACACCAATTTTCGGAGGGTTTATACCTTTGCATCAAAACTGTCTTTTGAAATTTTTGGTGGTTATCCGAAGAAACAATATTTAAATGTTAATACTGTAAATCCAAAAATAAGAAAATTAAAATAATAGAAATTAAATCCGGATTCATAGAGACCAAGAGTCCCAAGGTCTAAGGCCCAATCTGTGACCATTAAATGTATATGTAATCATGCATATCCAAGCCCAAATCAAAATGGACCAACCCACCAATAATTTCCTATTATAATGTGGGATCAATCCCACGAAGTTCCAACAATAACTATGATGACTATATAATTAGTACTAAAGTCTCGTCCTGCTTCTATATGACAGAAAGGAAACGAGTGGGCAGAAGAAGTCCATATATATTACAGTGGGCATTGCTCCTATAAACACAATGATATTGGCCATCTACACAAGGACTCAAATGCCTATATATAGCTAAATGTATTCATATATATACATATCCTTCTAAATGAACATTGATAAAACAGCTAGTTTGAAAGGAATTGACCTTCCAGGGGTCTTCATTACATGAAATGAGCAGAGGGCCTCACCAGCTACCTTCCATGCAAACCCACACTYCTTAACATCATTAGTGCTTCGAGCATAATCGTAAGTTACATGATAAATTGCAAGGGCTTCATTATGCAGATCCTCAATCTTCCTAGTACTCGTTGCAAAATCCTCAGCCTCATAAAACATCTGCATGAATCAAACAATACATACAGATGCAAGTGAAGATATGACTCGATTTCAAATTCAACTTTTGGGGTGATTCCTTGAAACATGCAACTATCAAGTTCAATAAACAAAATTTCAAAAAATTTAGACCTGCTTATACTTTTTAATCACAATGTTTGCAGAGTTGGTTTTTGATTCATCTCCAGCATTCATGGCATTGCACATTTCTTGCTTGTACGACATGTACCTGTTGTTCCACAAATTTAAGGAGGCCTCTGGTATCTCGACATTGAAGCAGGGCAGTTTCCATATGTCTACATATCACAAAAGCACTCATAGGAAGTAAGTCAACTTTTGGCTCAAATATACAGATAATGTTCGACTCTTCTGGCCAAATGGAATATGTTCTAACATCTGTGATACTAGTGGTAAAATGTTCAAGAACAATGACTATGGGAAATTTGAAGCCAATATTACAACTAGAAAAAAGCCACTGTTTTTAACAGAACCCATGATACAATAAACTTGAAAGTAAAATGTTAGACCTCAAAAATCGACTTCCTCTCTCTTTTCCGCTGTTTTGAAAAAGAAAACTAACGCCTGAAAGAAATTTTCAGGCAGAAATGGAAGGACAAAATAACTGAATTGAATTAGAATCAATACTGAAAAGAAGAAAGTTTTGCTTTTGTTTTAACAGAATCCATTACTTACGGATTCTTAAATCGTTTGACCTCAAAAATCAATCAAAATCTCTTTTTGCTGGAAGCGAAATGAATGCTTTAGAAAAATTTCTAAAGGTGGCATGGAAGGATGCAATTTGTTGCTCAAAAATTTGTATCTCGATGAAGTCAGGTATAGCATAATATAGATAACATGATAATTCCTCATAACAGGGAGGTCCGAACGAGGATGACAAAAAGGTTGAGAAGGTGAGAATAGATCTCAACCATCAAATGAGATGATCCAAGGGATGTGATTAAAAAAGGTGGTGACAACCTTTTTCAAAAGAAAAAATATTTCCTCACCACTATTCTTAATTGAGAATATGCGAAATATAACAAAATCGGAGACAAAAAACGAGCACTTTATTCTCTTTATAATTGTCATCCATATTGTTATACTTCTTCATCCGGCTTTTTGTCATTTTCATTTAAACCAGCCCCTTCCTCCTTAGCCAAATATACATGCAGAACTGACACGGGCTTACCTTGTTTTATAGCATTACAAGATGGATACTCTATCGCGGCATCATAGATTTTTCCTAGAACAGAAGTCGAATCATATGACATCTCACGTTTCTTTTCCAGAAAATGGGGATATTTTTGTGGCAATAAACATTTAGGAATTTCAACCTGTTTCAGAAATGCAAGAGAAACAATGTGAGTGGAGTATCTTGAAATTTTGTTGCAGTATGTAAGGAAAGAAAAACTGTCTTCTATCCTGGTAAAAATTGAACATGATAGTCAATTGTTTGAATAAAGAAGAAACCGTCCAAACAAAGCAATCAATGAAAACAACCTACATTAAAGTCATGACCATAAAAACATAGTAATGGCACAGTATTGTTGGTTAACAGAAGAACAAACAAAAAAGTCATGATACTGTAAATTTAGAAAAGAGATCCAGGATGGCACCTAACCTTTTTCCCACTCTTGGGTGCATCAAGAGCATCGTAGTACAAGTCAACCAACTTCAACAGTTTTTCTTTAATCCGATGCTTCTCATCAGCATAATTTTCTCCCAAGGACAGATAGTGATCCATAAAGGTTTGCCAGCTATCAGCTGCTTTACCAGCTACCATACTGAAATTGTAAACACTAACAACAATGAAGTAGCTTTACCAATAAAAAATAACAATGCAGTAGTTTGTTCAACATTCAAGACCAGCTTAACAGCAACGGCAGTTCTCCCAACTCAAATACCAATTTGATGTTAGCAGAAATGATCGGGATTCACCAGAAATTGCACAATAACATCTTCCCATCATTGTATTGGGGCCAAGCTGGTGRTCCCAATAGTCATTACATAATAAAATTAGGWWTTTAGCTTGTTATGGATGAATTATAATAGGTAGAAAGTGAGGGAACATACCCCTGCTTTTGTGTAGCAAAAAGTTGAGTAAAAAGCTCATTCTCCAACTYCTCGTACGAGAGCTCACTAGGTTTCTTGTTAGGCGCACTTGGTGTTGRGTGAATCCTTTCCCACGGCTCACTTGCTTTGAAGTAATTCAACAGCTGGCAGTGTACATGACAGCTTTAAAAAACATTATAGTGCAGGAAAATCAACACCCTTCGTTTTTCATTGATTAATCATTTTAGGGTATAAATCTAAATTGCTCGCGACAAAGAAYCAAAAGAAAGCATAAATTAATGCAAAGTGAGACAACTGACCAAGTAAATAGAACCCCACACAATAATTGTTAGAAAGTGCCCTGAATACAAGCACCATCCTTGTAAAAGAGGAAATCTAAAGGCTAGGCCTAGGGGCTCCTCCCATAGGTCGCCAGTTCGTGTCTCCTCCTCAGGGCTAAGGAGAATTTTCCTGGTTATCTTCTGAGCCCCATGAGATTAGTCAAGGAGCGTGCAAGCTGGCCCAGACACCCATAGTTACCAAAAAGAGGAAAAAGAAATCTAATAAGAAACATAAAATGCCTACCTGTGGGCTTCTAGATACCCAATACAGATCTCCATCGAAATCACCATTTGCAATTTCGTTTGCCACCGATCTCCTGCCCTTGGTGGAGAAAAAAATTCCATATTTAGCATTTCCAACAAACCCTTCCAATTCCTCTACATATTTTGCAGTTAGGATGTGTATGTCCCCAAAATGAAGGCCTGGATTCCTGTACACTAGAACCTTTCCTGATATCTGGCCATTTTCACTGCATAGCCAGTAAGAAAATGAATCGTAAGTACCAATTCTACGCAATATCAGATTCCATACTAATACCTAAGTGCATATATAACAGATGTCATTGAAGCAACACGCAAATTTCGAACCAAATCATTAGTTTATTGTTAGCACGGTTACCCTATCCTGCTTGGACATTATCATAACCAACTGAAATGAAGTAGAAACAAATGCATACAGAATAATGCAAACTTCATGACTGTTCAAGGTTCCTGTAGGATCAGCTGTTCCGATTAGATAGAAGCTTTCATTGACCGGAATCTTTCCACTACGAAGCCCCTTCCGCTCTTCCTTTGCTAAGACAGACAAACGATATTGAAGGTATGGTTCATCAAGTGGAATTCCACAGCCTACCATTGCAACAGAAGTTGCAGAATCATCCATTTGTCCATAGGTAAGGCCGACTGCGTAAGGAAAAACACTAGGTCAATTCTGAAAGTAATCGTGTTTTCCTTTGATTATCTTCTATATACATCAGCCGAATATATATACAGCTGAGAGGCTACAAATTAGGAAATGATCTCCACTCATTTAGGGGTGATCAATGACATAATAAACATCCTAAAATAGATGAGGCTAAACTCAGAAATAGCAAATTTATAGCTAGCTAATTTACAGCTAATACACCCCCTCAGTCTGAGCTGTGTAGGGACGAATGCACAGACTCGACCGAAAACGGTTGAATAGATGACGCGGAAGCCCTTTGGTGAAGATGTCGGCGTATTGAAAATCAGCTGGAACATGTAAAACTCGGACAACACCAATTCAGACCTTTTTTCTAACGAAGTGAATATCGAGTTCCACATGTTTTGTACGCTGATGTTGTACGGGATTGTCAGATAAGTAGACAGCCGGGATATTGTCACAATAAACAATTGTAGCCTTGCGAGCGGGAACATGAAGTTCATGAAGTAAGTTGCGCAACCAGCTCGTTTCGACAACTGCATTTGCAACTCCACGGTATTCGGCCTCGGCGCTGGATCGAGATATGGTCGGCTGACGTTTTGAGGACCAGCAAACCAAATTATCTTCTAAGAAGACACAGTATCCGGAAGTGGAGCGCCGAGAATCGGGGCACCCCCCCAATCGGCATCAGAATAGGCAATAAGATTCGTTGATTTGGAGGGTGAGATATGGAGACCATACGTAATTGTTCCTTTAAGGTAACAGAGTACTCGTTTGAGGAACTGGAAGTGTGGATCTCGTGGGGCATGCA